CCTCCTCTCTCTCTCTCTTCTCCTCTCCCCATCCCCTTGTCCTCCCTCTCTCCTCTTCCCTCTCCTCTCTTTCTCTCTCCCCCTTCTTCTGTTTCTCTCCTTCTCTTCCTCCCCCTCGTCTCTCTTTCTTTCTCTCCCTCAGTCTTTCTGTCGTATATTTGCAACATTATAAGTGCAACATAAATACATTTCATAAATTGTAAAAATCAGAAAAGTTTCTAGACGATGAAATTTTCTCTACGCAAAGAGAGAGAAAAATTTTGAAAAAAAATACATACCATAATTAAATGTATAAATCAAATATGACAGAATTTGCAAATTCGACATAACTTCGGTTTCTTTCATTTTCATGTTTATTTTTATAGATAAATAATATAAATAAATATAAATTTAAAAAAATTTAATAAATCGAAAAAAATAGATAAAAAAAGAATATAATCCAGATTTTAGAAATTAGAGAATGCAATTCGACGATAGAAAATTGCAAGGTGCTTTTTTTCATGTACGACAGAGTATAAGTTTAAGGGTAAATTAGAAAAAAAGAAGAAAATTCGAAATAATACAGACCATGGTAATGACGGTCTTGATAGCTTCTGCTGTGGCTTCTTCGCTCGAAGGCGTCTCGACGAGGGTGCTGCCCAAATATTTGAGGGTGAACCTTGCCTCAGACGCATCCTCGGATTCCTCACCGTGTGTCGTGCTCGTCGAACCACTACCCTCTACGCATTCACGGCTGTTCGCCAGAGCCCATTCCTCGCATAGCTCTGAAAGTTAATATCAAATTGAGGGATATTGAGGCAAAATTCAAAATCTCATGACAATCGATCGTGTCCGAATCTCCTCGATAAAAACCCTTTCAAATTTAAAATATCATGAAGCTTTCTGTAACAATGTATACAATGATAATAACAATAATAATTTAATATTCTCACTGAGTAAATACTCATAAATTTAAATTTTTATCGGTGGAGTTTTAGCTGTTTAACGGTTATTTTTGTAAAAAAAAAAAAAAAAAATTAAGCGTAAAGGAGTCAAAAAGTAAAGTTTAAGAAAGTGAAGTTTCACCGATATAAGGTTCAAATATTAAGTCTGTTACGTTTAAATTTATGTAGTAAGGATAATACGAGGATAATAGCGAAAGGACGTGAGGGCAAAAATTCTAGAATCTACGCTCTTCGCAAATATACGTACAACCCCGATGGAGATAAATGTTACGGTAGACGGAATGACTAATGTAACAGTCCAGGTTTCATGGCAACCACATAAGCCAACCTCGTTGTCCGTCTACATACTTCGTGACAGGGTGGCCGCGTATGCATGTATCGCAATAATGGATATCCCAAATGTATATGTACCATATACATTGTTACGATTCTACTCATTCCGAAATTTCTCGAACACCTTGCAACACTTTACAAAATTGAAAATTACGATACAAGAGCACTGGTGCGTCATTGTGTAAAATTCGACTCGATAATGAGGCAGAAGATGCTTAAAGGTTAACGACGAATTATTTGCCTTGGAGAAAGTTGATGGAAATTAGTTATAATCATTCTTTATGGAAGTTATAATTGTAAAGTAAAATAAGAAGTGCAGACGACCCGTGTGTATGACCCTACGATGAAGAGCGAAAAGTTTTAAAAAATCGGAGAGAATTATTCTTGAAGAAAGCTGACGGAGAGATCGAAAGATTGTATCCTCTGGATGGAACGCTCAATGCGGGAAATTATTAGCGTTATAAAGCGAGAAACAACTCTCGATCTATAGTGCGATAAAAGAAAAAAAGTTGCAAAAAAATGCACAGGAAATTATTTCTTTTCCGAGGAAGAGGAATAAAGTACATTTACGTGTACATTCACATCAGATCAAACGTCTCTTTTTTAAATCTTTATCTCTTATTTCTCTTTCAATGTAGCCGCACTCGATTTTCCACGGTACACAAGTTTAATCAAAGGGGAAACCATTTCGCGGAACCATTTTATCACCGCGATCTGTTCACGCTGCAAGTTTTGCGAAACGGTATCAATAGTTGTCCGCGCTCTATTGCTCGCTTTGCGGAAAAGTCTGAAAGTTCGTGGGGCGAGTCTCTGTATACCGTTATTGTCGGCCGCGCGAAACTTTGCCCGCAGAACAATTTTGTAAAAGCGGCGAAAACTCGTTACTACCCGTGACGCGACGCGGCGCGCCGTGACGTCTCGATCGAGAAAAGGAAAACTCGCGGTATCCCGCGGGTATCTCCCCCCACAACGAACGTGTTTCTTTAGGGATGTTAGCGGTTTTGCTACGATGTGTCAGAAGTTTCCGTGTCCCTACGGCACGGCAATACGTGCCCGACCCTTTCATTCTGACACACGACTTTTCGACCGGGGAAATAAGAGTACAAATCATATAATCCGAGGCTATCGGTCGCGTCTTTTTGAAGTCACCTTGCTTCTTTCTCGCTTTGTGGAAAAATTTTGAGATAATTTTGTAATGATAAAATAATTCTTTTATTTAATTTTAGATATCGAGATAGAACTTTTTCTCTGTTTAAAATCTGATTTTTACGACACGCGGTAAAATTCGACGACACAGTTTCTTTTATAAAAATCACATAATTTTTTATCACGAAAATGAAAGACCGATGTTCGAATAACGAAATTGAGGCTATAACGTTTTTAGAACACTCAATGCGAGGTGTACTTGTGATCGTGGTCGGTGAACAAAAATAAGAGGTAGGCGTTTCCGCAAATCGAATACACGTAGGAAGACACGAAAGCGCAGGAAACGCGATCATCGCTGGGCCCATTTGTATCAATTTGTCAATGAGCACTTCCTGCGCAATTTTTTTTCTACCGTATCGCTGGCCATCCATCTTTAGCGATTTCCTAACGTCTGACAAGAGATCGCACTCGATTTCGCAATAAAGACGACGGTACCGAGCAATGCATTTCTTCGACAAATGTCGTCTCGTGAAAATACATCTCGATGATATCATGATTACTTCGCGTTGTACGAAAATACAAATGAGACCAAGAACTTTTATATGAAAGATATATGATAATAATTTTTCCTTTACGAAACTTTTGTAAGAAAATTATTTACAGATTTTTCAAAAAAGTCTCGGTAAGAAAAAGATCTAATTTCAAATACAATTTACCGTGTGATCTACATATAATTTTTGTATAAAATATAATTTTCATTAATAAATATTAATGTGAATTTTACAATATACAATACTTTTAATATGTTCGCTATACTTTAAATATAATAAAATATAAAATAATACATTTTTTATTTTATAATATATAAAATAATTTTTAAGAAATTATATTATTTTTTATTTTAATATACTAATATGTCGCATACATTTAATGAAAAAAAAATATATATATATATATTTACTCTTTTACATCACAGTTTATTATTCCGGTACATCGTTTTTACGGGGAAACAGTCGTTATCTCCGACATTGACGTGGAACTCAAATAACGACACGATGAATTTAACCGTGATGCGAATATATATTTCTCTGATGTTCCCTTCGGTGAAATAAGAAAAATTGACTACGAAGCCGATCGACGGGTATTTTAATATTTCAACGGCCGCGTTGACAGGGCGCTACGTGAAAGCCATTCTGCGTGCGACGCCGCTAACGGAAACGCAATGCCATCCGGCTGAAAATTTATGCGAACCACCTACATCCGGCGCGAGGTGACGTGGAAAACCGATATAGTGCAGCGCACGTCCCTGAAATTCTATTGAGGAAAAGGCAACCGAGGGATGATGGGTGTGGTAATATCGTGAAAACTCTCAAACCCCCGGGAAATTCTATCCCTGTCCTGGGAAATTTCCTAATCGAAGAACTACGTAAACTATCGATCGATTTCCCGGTGAAATGTGTGGTAATTAAATTTGACTTAGCCCTCAAAATTTCCCTCTCCTCTATAATACATACAGTATACAAGCTCCTATTTGCGGAACGCAACAATGACGCAAAGTTATGGCCGTAACGTGAGAGTTTCACAAGCGAGTTTCGATGTTAAAAGTGTCTCGCCGAACAGCCTTCGTGCGCTCAAAGATCGTGGAGAATTTCCAAGGAGGTGTACAGCTGCCACGGCTGAAGATGGAAGGATTTCACGATCCGTTTTATCGTCCAGACCGAAGAAATTTCTATCTTTAACTCGCGGCAGCAAGTCATCCTTTTCCCTCTCGGGCAGAAGCAATTTGTGGGGCGCTTTCCTCGCTTCAGACGCAAACTGCGCGAAATTGAGCCAATTAGTCAGAATTTTTCAGCGATTACTGTAACGACCGCTAAGAGAAATTAACCATTCGAGAAATTGGGAGGACGTGCATGTACTCCCGACGGGATTCGCGGATTCCGCGTTTAAAAATCCAAAAGGTTTCGGCGCTCGGCGGAAATTTATTCGCGCGTGATTAATCTCATTGCAGTGTCGGTAATGTCGGTGAAATATGTATGTATTGCGCATTCTAAATCTCTTTTAAATAGTCTCGGTGTAAATGGAGGGTGAATTCGGTCGCGGATCGAATAAAAATCTTTTCAACGCGCGAGACAGCTCCATGTCCATTTCGACTTTATTTCTCCCTTACTCTCCGTCTGATTCGTCCGGTATATACGCGAGCAGGGGTTAACCAAAGGGAGAGAGAGAGAGAAAGAGAGAGAGAGAGTACTTTCGTCGGGTCTTTTTGTGC